TTTTATGCGCATGTGCTGTGCGGCCTAATATAATACAAAAACAAGTGCTATGTGTTGATTCACTACGCTATCAATAACAGACTAATTATCAACCACTGGCGGACTAATTATGACCCGTAAAACGGAGCTAATCGTATTAGCTACATATTTGGGCTGCTATGCTGCCTATAACATTTCCCAAACCAGTGGAGCCATGGTATGTAGCCAGGCGCTAGCTAATAAACAGCTGCTCCGGTGTAGTAATAAAGAGCGAGCGGGGTTTTATCCGCTTAATTGGCGGCTAATGACCCCACACAGCAGCGTGATGTAAAAAGAAAAACTCACCTAAGACGAAAAAGGGGAGCTCAGTGTTTTCCAGGTCGTCCACCACCACCACGTCCCCGGGAAAATCGTTTCTAACAGAGAACAGAAGCTTGGGCTCAGAGGCCGAGGGACTGTGCATGATGCTCAGGTCGTTTTCTCTTAAAAACGGCAGCGCCGACACGGTGACGCTCTTCATCTTGCACTCGGTGTCCTGGCTCTGGTCCTCATCGCCGTTAAGACATCGGACGTAAACCGCTTGGAGAGCCAGGAGAGCCCACGCCAGCTCCAGCAGCAGCAGCGGTCTCGGCCCCATGTTGATGCTCGCCATATCGCTCCGTTTCCTCTCCCCTCCTCGCTGTTTCTCTCCCAGGCAGCTTCAGTCGCTCAACCCGGCGGACGACAGAGCGCCAGAGAGAGTGAATGGGGGGCGTGCTACACCGGCGGGCTCTCACAGTGTGGGAAACAAGCGCCTCTTCTTTCTCGCATATGATCAATCACAGGATTTTGTTGTGCATGTGCTACTCCCGCTGAACACTGATAATGTAGCCGTGTTTTAATGCTGTTGACCCCCTTTGTTGTGATTGATCGACAAACTGTCCAAATGGCTGTAATGGCTACGCAAAGATTACTAACAGCAAACCACCCGGGGTGCCCCGAGGGTCCCATCAGCAAAAGAAACATAATTTGTAATTTAATTGTCTGCTTGCCCTGTCATAGAAACTTGCACATAATCTCCAAGGACACCACAGAGCATCCTTAGAAGCTTGCCTGACCTCAGTGTACATGCATAATTGCCTAATTGATGGTGCAGATGACTGTTAGGAGCGAGTGTCGGTGTCTGCAGTGGCCCAGATATGAAGTATCTAAGTAGTGAAAAATCTCTCACCAAATTTTAGGAACCTTACAAATAAAATTAAACTAATGTTGTAAATGTTGTCAACCAGTACTGAGTAAAGAAGTGCCACAGAGATAACAAGAGAGAGAAGAAAGTGTTTTTTCATTATTGCTCATTTTTAAACAGGGCATTTTGAGGAAGTGTGACATAATATATACAATTTTAAGAGTACACTGAAATAAGACTGCATTTGGCACCATTACATTATGTTCTGCTGTATCTGGTGAGGTTACATTACCCTGAATATTGGTGTTATAAAGGTCAGCACTGAACTTTCATGATAATTGTGCATGTTTTAAAAAATAAATAAATAAAATGGAATTGTTTCCAATACTCTGTCAGGTTTAATATGCTTAACATCTATTAGTTTAAGACCTGGCAGGAACCTTTAATGTGCATGTCCACAGTTAGTGGTGTATAAATGGCTGAAATGAGAAAATACAGCTATTCAGTTTGATTTCAGTTTTTGTAAATGACACACTTTTAACTGAGGTCCCCCCTGTTTTTCACAAGTTAAAATTCTGTGAAATTCTCATTATCCATTTCTTTTGCTTCCTGGTACATCACTGTTCTGCCACTTTTGTGAACGAGGAGGGAAAAAACACGTGTTTCTGTTCATAAAATGGTGAAATAAACCATAATCAGTCAGTACAGAATTAGGTCCTCATTGTTCTCCATATTTGGCCACTTGTAAGAACAAGTTAAAGCAAACCAGTTGGGTCTTTTGTGATGACAGTTTTAGACCACCGTCAGGGATGTAAGACATGGCAACAGCGGCTATTTTCATGATGTGATATGTATTTTCAGATTTATGTAAATGAACAGAGGCAGTGCATAAAAATAAAAATGGCTCTGAACCACATTGTACCCTACTAATGTGGGCGACAGGGTACACTGTTCTCTTCGGTACTTGCAGGTGCACCACAAAAAGAGAAGCTAGGCATCACTGCAATGAGGCCTAATGGAAATGCAGCGAATGGGCACTGTAAGAAACTTCAAATAATTCTGGTCTACAAAACAAAAGAGGCTTTGTTTGCTACTGGGAACCTCAGAGTAGCTCTTTAGCTCTAAGTTGTTGCACTGATTTCTGATACGAAATGTAATTCGAGCTACTCGTTAAGGTTTCTGAGATGCATATCACTGACGATTTGATACTTTTGAACATCAGTGTAAATATACCAACACAATGTCTGGACCTATTTCCTACCAATATGTTTGTTACATGTTTGTTATTCTGAAAACACACCAGAGCATATTGCTGTCAATTTAGCTCAAAATAAAACAAGCACGCTCTAAAATGTTTGAGGCCATTGCTTTTGCGTTCATGCTGCACATCCCTCTCTTTGCAAGAGCAAAGAGTAGTCAGCCATCATGCTCGGATTACATTTTCCCTGATATCTCTTTTCCATCACTATGATATCTTGATGAAATCTTTCCTCATGCTGGTCACTGACATCGATCAGGTTCAGTGGGGATAAAAGTCGAGGTGAGGATGTAAAAAGTGCATCTTCAGTGACATTCTGGTGCCCATTAACTGATACGCTTTCAGCACATTATCTACAAGCTCAGCATAATCCTCGGTGATTGCCCAGAAAATTGTGGACATCCTGCACGAACGCTTCCCAAGCTGCTGATTCAGTTGGCTTCTGTTTTCTTTTGAAGTCAACAACAAATACACCTTCCTTAAATTTTGGGTTCACTTTAGATGCTGAAATGCAGTTACTGTCCGTTCGTTCGATTTTTCCAAGTAAGCCATTACTGACACGGGGTACAACTTGGACTGGTCCACCAGTCTATCACAGGGCTAACACAGAGAGATTGCATTATCCTAATAAAGCCTATGTACAATCAAACCTATAATAGTATTATTATAGACTTCATATAGACTGATAACATCAAAGGTGCTTGTATGGGTTTTAGAGTTTCAGCTATTTAAAATTTTATTTTCACAAAGAAATTAACAACAAATAATACACAGGAATACTCCAGTTCCACTCAGACTATAATTTCCAGAGGGGCTTTCAGACTCTAAATCCCTTGACTGTTTTGTTGACCAGACAATTGCCGCTGGGATTTGGATATAAAGCCCGTAGGAAAAGAAGATTGCGTTTTCTGTGTCACCGCTGTCCATCCATTTAATATTTAAGCAGCTCTGTGGTCTCCAGTGAAGTGTCAGTTCTCTCTGTCTCTTCCCGTCCTCATCAGAAACAGTCTGAAAATCCAAAATAGGGCAATATTTGGGATCGAAGCTAAAAATAAAAAGCGGGGAAGTAGATTGGCCTCGGCCACCCGCAGTGAAATATTAAAAGGTTAGCAAAGATTGAGGAGAATAACTGGACTAAATCGCATAAATGTGCATTAATTATTGATCGTGGGCTCGTGGTTTCTCAAGACACTGTTAAAGAAAATCCATCAGCATTCAAACAATATTGGATTTTATGTGAAGGTTTCACTTCTGGATGTGTGTGCACTTCAGTGCAGAGGGAAACTTTTCTAGTACATTTCCTTAAGGGTCAAATGAAACTTTTAAAACAATCGTTTGGAAAGTATACACCGTGTCAGCATTCAGATAATTATTTTTCCTGTTCTGTAAAATAAAAATAAAAATAAATAAAATCAAGAAATCTCACAAAAAGACAGATTTTAGTCATTAAAACCAAACTGTTTTACTGGATTTGTTACATGATATTTGGTTGCCAGAACACACACTGTTGTTTATGTTGAAGCAATCGTGGATTCACTGTCCTGCTGCTGCAAATGACGTAAACCACCAAATCCACAATCAATAAAGAGTCTTTAACAAATATATTTTAATACATCTTTTTAAAAATGCAAGTGTTTTAAGAATTAAATCAACAAACCAACAACAAAAGCCAGGATTTATCCAAAAAAAAAAATCACATGCACATCCTGCAAAAATGAACAATGAACAAATCTGAAAATGCACATTTACATGTATTGCTTTTTAAAACATACACCTATGTGCAATGAAGTATAGAGTAAATTTATGAAGCGCTGCACTAACGTGTACTATATGTGACATTCATGTGTGAAACTGTAGGATGGTTTGGTGGTGGATTCGATCATATGGCTAATCGATAGATTTAATTCAATTCAATTCAATTCAATTCAATTCAATTCAATTCAATTCAATTTTATTTATATAGCGCCAAATCACAACAAAAGTCGCC